AATATAGGTGCTAAGGCTCTGGGCATGAGTCATAGCAATGTTTTTGTGGATTTGTTTCCATTGGCAAAGGAAACAAAAACAAAACTAGACAAATGGGACTATATCAAATTAAAAGGATTCTGCACAGCAAAGAAAAGCATCAACAAAAGGCAACCAAGAAAATGGGAGAAGATATTTCCTTATGATACTTTGATAAAGGGTCAATACCCAAAATATATAAAGAATTTATAAAATTCAACAACTACAAACCAACCTCATTAGGAAATGGTCACCCTCCCAGGTGGTTCAGTTGGCTGGAGCGTCATCCTGTATAACAAAAGGTTTCAGGTTCGATCACTAGTTGGGGCAAGTGTTGGACGCAACTGATTGATGTTTCCCTCTCCCTGTTCTCTTCCTCCTTCCATCCCTTTCTCCCTTCCTCTCTCTTTAAAATCAAAAGAACATCCTCAAGTGAGTATGAAAAAGGAAAGAAATGGTCAAAGGATCTAAACAGACATTTTTCCTAAGAGGATATACAGATGGCCAACAGGCACATGAAAAGATGTTTAAAATCACTAATTATTAGGGAAATTGAATCAAAACTACAATGAGATGCTACCTCTTACCTCCAATGGACAAATAACAAGTGGTAGAGAGGATGTGGGGGGAAAAGTGAACCTTGGTACACTGTTGGTGAAATTGTAAATTCATGAAGCCACCAAAGAACAGAGTATGAAAGCATTTCAAAACTTAAAAATATAATTACCCAGCAATTCCACTTCTAGGTATTTATGTGAAGCAAACAAAAACACTAATTCAAAGAGGTTATATTACCCCTATGTAATTGTAGCATTATTTACAGTAGCCAAGATACGCAAACAACCTCTGTGTATCAATGGATAAAGAACATGTAATATATATCTATATGTATAGATACAGGTAAAGATGTAGATACACACAATGGAATGTTATCCAGACATAAAAAGAATGAAATCTTGCCATTTGCAAAAATGTGGATGGACATTGAGGGCCTCGTGTTAAATGAAATATATCAGACAGACAATATCATATGATCTCACTTGTATGTGGAATTCAAAAACAAAACATAAAAAACGAGTTTATAGATACAGAAAACAGACTGGTGGTTGTCAGAGGCATGGGGTAGGGGGTGCAAATGGGCGGAGGTGGTCTAAAGTTACAAGCTCTCAGTTACAAAATAAGTCGTGGGAATGTAATGTACAGCATGGTGACTATAGTTAACAGTACTGTATTGCACATTTGAAAGTTGCTGAGACAGTCTTAAAAGTCCTCATTACAAGAAAAAATTTGTAACCCACTGTGGTGATAGATGTTAACTAGACTTAGTGTGGTGATCATTAGGTAATATATACAGATATTGAATCATGATGTATACCTGAAACTAACAATGATATATTTCAATAATATATAATACAAAAGTAATTTAAATATTTTTTATTCAATTATAGTCGTCCCTGTTCTTTTTCCCATTACTCTCCCCTGCCCTACCCACCCCCCACCTCCCACATTCCCATAAAAAAGTAATTTAAAAATAGCATTTCATATTGCTGTTTCAGTCTGCAGTGGTATGGAAATATTTTTTTCTTTCTGTTTATAAGGATTATTTTATTAATTAAATACGTATGTATTACATACTCCCACTTTTCCCAATAACTCTTTTGAGAAATGTAGCTAACTACTAATCCCAGATACCCAGAATTTTTCATTTCTTTAAATAAAAATTCATTTTTTCCTCATCTAACAACATAGATCAACTTGAAACAAGCTTGTGCATTTTTTCAAAAATGAGAGATCAAAAATTTTCAGTGTATGTACTGGACCAATGCCATTTTCAAGTTCTGCTCTTTCATGAACTTCAAGAAAATGGAGTAGATTACCAGATTTATAATGCAATAAAATTTTTCTATCACTTGGAACTGATAAATATGGGATTAAAAACTGAGTAACCCAATGTGTACACATGTATTCTACAGATATATATTATATATGTATGTATATATGTGTTTATCATAAAATCATAGTGTTGAGATTAGTGATGAATCAGGAAAAATTATAAGTTTTTAAAAATGTTTTTACTATAGAATATATTTAAAACATTCATCTTAAAATTCAGAAGCATAAATGTGTTATAAAGTAAAAAGTGTTTGAAATGAATTTCTGCAAACTTATCTGAATTGTGCATAATACATTGAAACTATTGTAACAATCCAAGTAAGTAAGTAATACTTCCTTCACTATCCTTCATTGAGCACATTTTACACATTCTAATACTCATCTTGTTGTTTTTTCCCGAAGGGAATTTTCATAAATTAATTGCTTTGCAAAATAAGGGTGTCTCTCAGAGATGTCCATTTCATAATACACAGAACATGAATATGTTAGGTAACAGCAAAGAGGAATTAAGGTAACAGATAGAATTCAGGTTGCTAATCAGGTGATCTTATGCTAGGAAAATTTTCCTGGATTATCAGAGTAGGCACAATCATACAATCACAAGAATCCTTAAAAGTGAGAGAGGAAGAACAGCAAGTTGGATGATGCCATGTGAAGAGGACTCACTCTTGACTTGCTGTTGCTGGTTTTGCAGATGGGAAATTGAGAGATTCCTACAGAAGCCAGAAAACCATAACGAAGAGGATACTCCGCTAAAACTTCAACAAAATATGGTCCTGCTGATACTTGTTTTCAGCCCAATGAGAGCCAGTCAGTTCCTAACTTACATAACTATAAGACAATAAAATTGTGTTGTTTTAAGGCCCTAAATTTGTGGTAAATCTTTACAAGAACAATAGAAAACTAACACACTTTGTAGAGTATTAAAGCTCACTTGTAAACACAAGTGAAATATGTATGAAGTCTTTAAAAGCTACAAAGCATTTTATTATGAAAATATGAAAGCATTTTCATTATGTACTTAGAGAAAAGTTTAGGAAAAAAATTCTAGTCTAAATGTAGACTGTACTTTACAGTCTGCTATAGTTCTTGATACCTCTTGAATTTCAGAAATATTCATTGCAGAGGGTGATGTATTTTCATGATACAGTTGAAACCTTGACAACTAGACCAGAGTTTGAACTGTTATGGAACAAGAATGGTTTTGGGGGTTTATCATTCATGAAAGGGTATTTGAATTGGTTAAACATTGTCCATTGTCGGGTTACCTCTTTTAGCTCACTTCCTGCTTTATTAAAATGTATTTATGTGTAATGGGTATACAATATTATATTTCAGGTGTACACTATAGTGATTCAATATTTATATACCTTACAATGTAGTCACCACACTAATTCTAGTAATCATCTGTCACCATGCAAACATCACTATTATTGACTATATTCCCCTTTACCATTTGCCCCCTGCAGTGCCCTCCCACCCTGTTCCCTCTCTGGCATCTATCAGTTTGATCTCTGCTTCTGAATCTCTTTTTGTTTTGTTATTTTGTTTTTTTTAGATTCCACATATAAGTGAAACCATATAGTATTTGTTTTTCTCTGACTTATTTCAGTTAGTACAATGCCCTCTAGGTTCATTGTGTTATTGAAGTTGCAAGATTTCTTGCTTCTGAGAGAATTATGGAAAGGATTTAGCCTTAGAATAATAGCTAATATTTATTGAGCATTTACTAAGTTATACAGAGTTGTTTTTATCCATCATTTGTTTCTCACAACAATCCTTTGAGAACAGTACTATTGTAAGTTCCATTCTAAAGATGAAAAAACAAATGTAGGGACGTTATATAACCAGTGGGAAGTTGTGGGGTAAACATGATAGCTTCCTGATTTTAAAAAGGCATTCTGACTCCAAAACTCACTTAGTCACTACCCTAACAGTCTGCATTTCAGGTCTTTAACACATATGGGACAAGTTTTGAGAAGTTAGGTAATTTGCCAAAGACCAGAGAGGTATTGGATGCTAGGTCAGTGATTCAAACAGGGTTTGTTTGATTCATATGTCGATGATCTTTTACTGCACTCTCACTTTACAATTCTCCAGAAGAGGCAAGTATACTAAGGAATACTTATGACCTGTATCTCCAGTATCTCAACTTGTTTGTAAGTCACAATGTCAATTCTTATCAATAGTGCGGCACATAACTTGTTTTGGTAAGAAAGATCCATTTGAGGCCATGTTAAGAGCCAAAAGTGGTGATAAATCCTGATGTACTTTGGGAAATCTATGTGATTAATCATATGAATTTCTCTTTGATTATTAATACTGAGTTCTATATTGTTTCATACAGTATCTTCTCATATAGTTTGAAGAAGCTGTAGCATTTTAGGATTGGACAGAATTTCTGATAAGATTGTTTAATAAAGTATGTAGCTTGATCTCTTGAGCTACTTAGGAGGTGAAGTTGGAAATCTATTGCAAAACTTTCCTTTATCAGAACTTAACTGTGTCTTTGTGGGCAACCCATATATAACTATTTTACCTTTGTGAAGTGGGTTTCATTATCCTTGCCATATATGATATTTTGGGTATATAAGCTTCTTCAATATTGCTTTTTAATATCTGCAGAATACTGGAACAACTGTCATTATTATTGAATCTCTAAAATGGACAACACAGATAATTTATTGTTTTAAATCTCTCTCATTAAATATATCCATAAAACATATATTTTTAACACTGCAGATGGTCAGGAAGATAGACAACTTATGTACACAACTTAAAAGAACACAGTTCCATTCCAGCTGTATGGGTTGGCAACACGATGTGATTCAGGAGACATGTCTTAGTAAATGCATATTTTGAGCTCCTTTCTTTGCTTAAAATCATACTGTTACACAAGTATCTGAAATCAATTACATATGTTTTCATTTTGGAGTAACAAAAGTGAATGCCAGGAGACGAATAATACTTAATATAATTTAAGTATTATTAAACAAATCTAACAAAATGAAACAAGTTTAAACAAAGGCATATAAGATATATGTATACTCTTAGCAAAACCTGCCTTTTTTTTTTTTTTTTTCTAATAGGCACATCATCTTTGCACCAAGTAGGCACAACAAATACGCTGGAGAATCATTTCCTGGGATCTATGATGCTATGTTTGATATTGAAAATAAACCAGACCCACGTTCAGCCTGGAGAGAAGTAAAGAAACATATTTCTATTGCAGCCTTTACAATTCAGGCAGCAGCAGGGACGCTGAAAGAAGTGGTATAATAAGGTTTCAGTCAAGTGGAGCTATTCATTAAAAGTATACTGGAAGTCTGAGGATAAAAATCCATCTTTCTTTTTGATCTTTCTTTTCATGTCATGTTTTGATTTTAGATGTCCACCTTGTTCATCTGAAAATATTTTTTTGGCTCTTTAAAAATGTGTAACTTTATCACCAAAGTGTTAATCTAATAAAATAAAAAAACTCCAGTCATGTGGCAGAATGTTAACTGAAAATTCCCTAAAGTGAAGTATGGCAAGGAATTTGAATACTCAGATATTGCTGGAAGAAATGTAAAATGGTATAACCACTTCGAAAACAGTTTGGCAGTTCTTATACAGTTAACCATATACTTGCTTTATACTTTAAAATTCTACTTCTAAGTATTTACTAAAGAGAAGCAAAACATGATCACAGAAAGACTCTTATGTGTGTTCTTAGTACCTTAAAGTGGATTAATTAAAAGGATGAATGAGTAAATTGTAGTATATCCATAATGGAATACTATTTATCAATACAAATGAAAGAACTGCCAATACATGTAATATTATTGGCAGACGTTATTGAGGAAAAGAAGCCAGCCACAAAAGAATACCTAGCATATGATTCTATTTATATGAAGAAGAGGCAAAACTAATCTATGGTGTTAGAAATCAGTTGAATCAGTGATTCCCTGGAGCAGGGAGCAGGGAGGAATTTGGCTGCAAAGAGGCATAAGGGCACTTTCTGGGCGATGGGACTTTTCTGTATCATGATATGGGTGATGGTTACACAAGTGTATACATTTGTCAAACCAAATTGTAAACTTAAAGTGTGAAAATTATACTTCAATATATGTTATTATATCCCCACCACCTCAAAAAAATGAAAAAGTCTGGCAAGGAAGCCAGTATAGCACACCTTCTCTTGTGAAATCACCATGAAGTGAGAATCATAAGGAAAAAATAATATACATACTTGTAATAACTTCACTGCTACTGAATGATGTACAAGTGTGATAGGTAAAATAGTTGCCACAAATTTTCATACTCTGACTCCTATAAATAAAAGTATATCAGTGTCTGTAAACTTTTATCCGGAGCCTAAAGACTCAAAATTATGGGTAAACTGACAAAACCTTCAACAACCTTGGATGTTCAATTAGCCAGAGTCGAAAATTAAAAATTTAAAAAGTCATTATAGGCAGGTACACTAACTACAATAAGAAGTGAGCACAGAAAGTTTGACTTCAAGGAGAAACTACCCCTGCTACCCTTGCTTGATAATTGACCAACAACGCATTTTTTAAAAATCCTCACCTGAGGGCATTTTTCCATTGCTTTTAGAGAGGGAGGAAGGGAGAGAGAAACATCAATGTCAGACAGAATATTGGTTAGTTGCCTCCCATATGTGCCCAGACTGGGATCAAACACACAACCTAGATATGTGCCCAGATGGGGGATCACATCTGCAGCCATTTTGATGCACAGGACAGTGCTCCAACCAACGGAGCCACACTGGCCAACATAAACAATTTAATAAAACGGTGGGAGTACTTAGTTTAGGGATAGACATTTCCTATATATCTCAATACTGCCAGAGGGTATCTCACTGATTCTCCACAAAAATATAAGTGGGGAATAACACAGTGTAATAAATAATATGATTCTGCAAGAGCAGTTCTGAAAAGCAAGCTAAAAGTGATAAATACATATATTAATAAATTGGATCTCAAGGAACTAGAAAAAAAGAATAACTAACACCAAAGTTAGCAGAAGGGATCAAGGGTGGAAATGAATGCAATAGAGATCAGAAAAAAAAATTCAAAGGATCAATGAAGCCAAAAGTTGATTCATTGAAAAGATAAAAATTGATGAATCTTTATCAAGACTAAGAAAAAAGAGTCAAAATTAGAAATAAAAAACCCCCAAAAACCTGGTACTAGAGAAATATATAGTACCATAAGAGACTACAGCATTATGAAAAATCATATGCCAACTATTAGATAACCCAGAAGAGATGGATACATTTCTAGAAACACAACCTAGCAATACTGAATCCAAAAGAAATAGAAAATCTGAACAGACTACTAATGGGCAAAGAGATTGAATCAGCAATCAAAAACCTCCCAACACAGAAAACTCCAGGAGAGATGGCTTTGCTGGTAAAGTCTACCAAACACTCAAAGAGTTAAGATCCATCTTTCTCAAACTTTTCCAAAACTTTGAGGAAGGGGAAATACTTATAAACTTATTCCTTGAGGCAAACACTGTCCTGATACCAAAGCCAGATAAGTAAGGATACTAAGAACACATAGATGAATATCTCTGATGAATAGATAGAAAAATTCTCAACTAAATATTAGCAAACTGAATTCATAAACAAAAAGGGTTATACACCATGACCAAATGGGATTTCCCCCTGCAATGCAAAGATTGAGTGCCTATCAATAAATGTAATACATCACAATAATAAAATACAAGATAAAAATCTTGTATATCAATAGATGCAAAAAAAAAAAAGCATTGACAAAATAAAAATGCTTTTATGATTAAAACTCTCAGGAGAGTGCATACAGAAGAAACATATCTCAACAAAGGCCAAAAATGACAAACGCACAGCTGACATAATACTCAATGGTGAAAAAAATTATAAGCTTTTTCTCTAAAATCAGGAACAAGACAAGGATGCCCATTCCCACTACTTTTATTGAATAAGCATTGAAAAGTGCTAGCTCTAGAAGTTAGGCAGAATAATGAAATAAAAGGCACACAAATTGGTAAGGAAAAAGTAAATCTGTCACCATCGCAGATGATACGATTTTGTATACAGACAATCCCAAAGACTGAACAAAAAAAAAACAAAAAACAAAAAACTTGGAAATATTGATTTCCATAAAGTTACAGCATACAAAATTAACATGCAGAAATCAATTACATATCTATACAATAAAGATAAAACCTCTTAAAAAGAAATAAACCAATCCTATTCACAATAACATCAAAAACAAAATACTTCACCCAAATAGAAAAAACAATCCTTTCATCAAATAGAAAAAAACAATCCTAAAATTTGTATGGAACCACGAAAGTCCCCAAATAGCCAAAGCAATTCTTAGGAAAAAGAACAAAGCTGGAGGTATCACATTTTCTGTATTACAAAGGTACCTCAATAAAAACAGTATGATATTTGCAAGAAAAATAGACACAGCCAAATGGACTAGACTAGTTTAGAATTAACCCCTACTTACATGGTCAACTAAAATTTGACAAGGGAGCCAAGAGCATCCAATGGATAAAAAATAGCCTGGGAAAATTGTCCTGGGAAAACTGGATAAACACATGTAGAACAATGAAATTGGATCAAATAATCAAAGACTTAAACCTAAGACCTGATATTATAAAACTCCTAGAAGAAAATGCAGGGAAGCAGTTTCTTAATATGTGTATTGGCAGTGAATTTTTAAGTATGACACCAAAAGCAAGAAACAACATAAGCAAAAACCAACAAATGGGACTATGTCAAAATTTAGAACTTTTGCACAGGAAAAGGAACAATTAAAAATTAAAAGGCAATCTAAAAATGGGAGAAAAAAATTTTTGTAAACCATGTATCCAATTAGGGGTTAATAATAAAATATATAAAGGACTTAAGAAACTCTAACAAAAGTTTAATTTAAAAAAAACAAGCAGAAGAAATAAATAGGCATTTTTCCAAAGAAGACATCCAGATGACCAACAGGTACATGAAAAGATAATCGATATTGCTAATCATCAGGGAAATGGAAATTAAAACCATGATGAGACATCACCTCATACATGTTAGAATGGCTATCATCAAAAAGATAAGACGTAAGTCCTGGCAAAGATCTGGAGAAAAGAGAATTGTTATGCACTGTGGGTGGAATGTAAACTGGTGTGTCACAGTCATATGGAACATCAATATGAAGTTTCCCTCCAAATTAAAGATACAACAACCATATGCTCCAGCAATTCCATTTCTGAGTATTTATCTGAAGAAAATGAAGACATTAGTGAAAAATATATTTGCACCTCCATATTCACTGCAGTGTTATAGAAACAAATCAAGTGTTCATCCATAGATATATAAAGAAAGAAAATATGGTTCATTTATATCAGGAGAAATGAGGACATTCTGACATTTGCAACAACATGAATAGACCTTGAGCAGATTATGCTAAGTGAGATAAATCAGAGAAAATCAAGTGTTGCATGGTAACACTTATATGTGGAATTTTAAAAAGCTAAACTTGTAGAAAACAATAAAATGTTGATTACCAAGGAATGAGGGTTGAGGGACAAGAAAGATGTTATTTAAGGTTATGCATCTAGAATTGGATTGCAGACAGTAAGATTTTGTATACAGACATTCCCAAAGACGAAACCAGAAAAAACTGTTGGAAATAATCAATGATTTCAATAAAGTTACAGGATACAAAATTAACATACAGAAATCAATTATATTTCTATACAGTAAAGATGAAACATCTTAAAAAGAAATAAACTGATCCTATTCACAATAACATCACAAACAAAAATATACTTCACCCACATAGAAAAAACAATCCTGTCTTCAAATAGAAACAATATACAGTACAGTGACTATACACAAAAATACAATATAATAATCATCAAACTTGCTAAGAGACTGGAACTTAATTATCCCAACTACCAAAAAGAAAGGATAATTATGTGATGTGATAAAGATGCTAATGTTACCATGGCAACCCCATTGCAATATATAAATGTATCAAATTAACATGATGTACTACTTAAATTTACATAATATGTCATATATATTTGTGTATATATATGACATATATATATTTTTTTAAAAAGACACTCGAGAGGGATGATAGCTACTGTATCTGAGTCCTTATCATCCAGCATGACACCTCCTTAAGTTCTCTTTAAGTTTCAGTGATACATATATGCAGAGAACATACAATAAAGTATGTACCCATAACCCAGCTCAAAGAATCATCTCTCACAAAAAAAAAACCAAA